GTTTACTTTTATTGTTATCATAAAAGCTAAGGTAACAGTTTTACGTTGACTTAACAGCAACCTAAGTTAAGAAAAATAAAGCTGCCTCAATATATACATTTAACATATTTTTTTTGCGTTAAAATACTGTGATTAAGGACGAACGATGTATTATTTATTAAAGATTTTCATTTAAAAAAAAAAAAAACGATCGGTTGTACAAAGTCGCTCAGCGGCAGCTGCGTCGTTCGCGCGACTGTCGCGTGCCCCGTAAACGCACGAGCTCGCCCGAGCACTCACGAGTGACCATCGGAGACTAGCCGACGTGCGCGCCCTTTTTGTCGGAACGCGATCGTTTTATGTTAACCTAAAAAAATGTTTATTAAAAAATCAATATATGTACCTGCCCACTTCGAATAAAACGCCTTTAACTTGCGTTGTTAAAATGGGACATAAACAATATTTTCCTTTCTTTGTATAATTGTACATAATATATCTGTTTTTATACGACGAACTGAGAACCGTGACTTCGCCTGCGTTGTTTATTATAATAACAACTACACCGCTTACCTCACTTCTCCACGAAGAAAACTCATATTAATGAACACGTAGTACTTACAAAAAATCGTTCTTTCTTAATACTTTGATAATTTTACATTAAATGGAGATATCACATTAGGTTTTTATTTTAGGTCCAAGTGTATACTCTAAAACGTTTTTCCATTGCGAGCGCACAAGGACAGACCTCTACATTTATTTATATAAAATATAGTTATGTAGTTAGCACTACGAATGTCCTAAGTGTCCTAATTGTACGAAAATAATCGTCAGAAATTTTGTAATTGCAATAGTAATTATCCGAAGTCCTATGGAACATAATAAGGTGGCCTATTCATTGTGACAATGCGACCAATGTTGCAGGACGCGTAAAAAACGCAGAAACAACGGCGTTGATCAAAGGGCGCGATTCTGATGTCGGCGTAGCGTTTCGCGAATTGCACAGGTGTGCGGAACGCGTTTCCGTCGCATCTAGTCCGTCCCGTTTGGTAGGTAATGCCATAACCCCGAACAATTAATGCCTACAGCGGAAATATCCACCCATAATGGCGCAAGCTTCAATTATCAAAAATCACTATTGCAATCCAGCTCTAAGGGGCGCGACGACGGGGCCGCTGCTACAGTGATTGTCTTCTTCAAATTAAATGCACGGCGGACGTGTTTCAGGATCCCCCCCATTTTGTGTTTCGGGTGTGTTTGTGTTTTTGCAACGTAATCGGATATCGGGCACGTGTTTGAAAAGGTGCTTCATTATTGTTATGTAAGCTATGTAATTTATAACCTTAATTTTTACCAGCCCAATACATATGTCTTTAATCTCTAACTGATGACACACTGTTACGACATACATTAGAAGTCTTCAAGATGCTTTTGACACACAATGAAAAATATTCGGAGAATTTCAAATTTCACCATTAGATTTGCACCATAAATACTCGACTTTAATAAAATAGACAAGAGAATTACTTACCTGTGAACTAAAATATGTTATCCTTTTAAATAATACGGCTCAGAATATCAATTTCCTTATTAAATATATAAGAAGGCTTAAGTCTACTGCAAGTCATCCTCTTATGTTATCTGTCAAATAATTTTCTTGTTTCGAATCTTAACTGTGAGCTTCACCCTATTTTCATTATTGCTCCAGTGGTAAGAATTAATAAGCTGTCTCTCCAGTATGATGAAATACATCATATATTTTTTTAATACTGAGAATTAGTTTCTTCTTGATGAACCTGTTGTATAGTGATTTCCTTATATAATACTTTGTTATACCCAGTTAGTATCTCAAGATGATTATCTTATTCTTGTATTTATGCCCTCAAATTGCTCTTTGAAACTTTGCATGGTCATTAGGACTGAAAACCAAAATATCATCTTTAGACAGGGAAGTAGGTACATATATACGATGGCAGCCACATGGCTACTTCAGTTTCTTACGATAATAAATCTTCGTGCACCACGTACACTAATGAATTTTATTCGCACGTATTGTGTGCTGCTTAATTGACGCATTTTTCTACGTGACTCATGACGTGGCCATTAAATAGTCACAATGCAAAAGGTGATATGCTGAGTTTTTGTGAAAACTTACCCTTAAGTTAATGGGTTGGGATAAATATGAAGACAATCATAAATTTTTAATTATTGTCAATGCGTATACATTTAAATCGTAAAATCTTTTCATCTTTACACACAGTCTCTAATGGTGCTGTTTAATTTTGTTCAAAAAAACATCGGTTTATTTAACTTAAAAGGTACTGTTTTTCGTCACTGACAGATAATCAACTTATAACCTCTAGATATACTAGATTCATCAGAAATTGCTACACCCGAAATTTCTTTGTAACTCCATCTTTCCATCCAATCCAGATTAGAATCATCCATAGTTATCTATTGCGGCCGTGATGTAAAATTTGGTGTAGCTAGAGACCGTTAGCTGGTCTGATCATTTATTAGGGGCATGGTCTCTGTTTTGTACCTTACGTTATTCGTCATAGTACTTTATTTAAACGACTGATCATGTTTTATTTGTTCCAAAAACATTACTTTTGGATTATGTGACGTTTCATTTTTATTGCAATTATAGATCTTCCAAACCCTTAATTAAATCCATGGTCACAGAACAGATGTGTATTATTCTCGTAAACTCAAGAAGTCCTTATATGTCGTTTGTTATTCTTATTGTCATCACTAGCCTGCGACAATTTATTCTTGGACATATGTCTGTCTCCAGATTCTTTGTTTATATTTAAAATATTTATTTAGTTCAATAATTGCAATCTTGGAGTCTCTTACCTAAATGACATGTGATCAGTCGAGTTTCGTAATATGTTTTGTCGAGACCGGCTGAGAAAAATTATTTAAAGTAGTCTTGTGGCAACACCTATTTATAGACGAAATAATAGAAAAGTTATAAGGGCGTTTATTTGTTTTCATCGTTATACCCTTACATTAAGTTATACATTTATTTGGTAGATTAGGAACTTCATAATTTATACTTTGCCATAAGAGCATGTAGTTTAAAATGGATAGAAATAAAATGATGTCATTCGGTAGATGAATTTTTTTATTGGCAGAAAACACCTGATCACGATGATTGGTATTTCTGTGATTAAAACAGCATTATATAAAATTTAAAATTATTAGGAATCTTTCTTAGGGTGCTAATATATTTATATACAAGTCTTTGTCTCAACACATTCAGACTATTTCACGTAAACAATATAACTAGGATCAACTTACATTGAATACTTATAGAACATTACTGGCTATGGAAGTCTTTCCTTAACTGCAGGGATTGAAACAAAGTTAAAATTCTTAAAGTAATGACTAGATAACGCTTATAAATAATATTAAAACTAACTCCTATTGGAAGTAACGATAAGGCTAACTAAGGCACAGCAATGTTACTAGTCTTGCAGTATTGCTAAATGCTTATGTGGAACAATAAATGATCAACTCAGTCTTGGTATTGCTATTCCGTCGATGTATGAAATGCAAGCATGGGTTTCGGTCGTGTTCGGTCGGTCAGCGGAATGCATCGATGTGGTCGTTATAGTCCACCATTATCCCCTCTCATTAGGAATATATTGATTGCGCTTAATTAGAGGTTCTCTCGGAGTCCCTTGCGCTCCACCGCTTGGGTCCTTCTTGAGGCGAATGCTCGTTTTTTCACAATCAAGGAGCCGATTACTGGCCGTACTTTGATCTCCGTAAGCCACGGCAACTATAAGAAAAAAATAAACCGATTTATTGAATGAAGTAGAACAATCAGAAGCTGAATTGAACAAGTAGTTAAAACCAAGTGTCCTAAAAAGAAACTTGTCGCTACGATTCCCATGAAAGGGAACAGTCAACAGATGTCTGATCAAAGCTTAGCAAATATTGTAACACGTGTGCTTTGCTCACCGCCCCTCTATTTCCTTTCAAGATTTCATCTTCCGGTACAATAAATTAATAGATAGGTGGGTCTGGTTTTTTGCGAGTTCTAATTTCGGGCTATGGAAACGGCTACTTGTTTTTACACATCAATCTTGTACCATATGGCGAGTAGTGTCGAGAGCTCTCACTGACCGGATGCGTTGTGAAGATTTAAAACATCAATGAGAGGACGAAACTGCACAAAACCTGTTCCCCCACTCGAAATGAATCAGAACAATCTCATATGACCACTTGTTGTTAGAATACGCAACTTTTTATGTGCAATTTTGCCCACTACATGCGGGACGAACCACAAGATTGTTAGATATAATTGCTGATCGGATGGTGGAATAAAAGTGGAAAATGCGGGTCCTATCTGACTTATAGGCATTGATTCTCTCTCTATAGTTCAAAACTCTATTGGGTTATAAAAAATCTACTACCTAGTTGCGGGTGGTGGGGGTTTTTTGAAAGGCGACATATTTTAAGATCCACCATTGTGAAAGACAAGCTTTTGTGTTGCTGTAATTTAACAATGGGCAGATAAAGTCTATGCGACGGTTCAATGCGCCTCCATAATGGTATATGTGTTTACGTTTTGGATTTGAACGTTGAGGACCCAAGTCTCTATTGAAATTGTGCAATATAAAAGTGCAACAGACCTGACCCGACAACCGTGTCTAACGTTTTTCGTACAAAAAGTTCGTACCTGAGCATTTTTGGTTTTACCAATTTTAATATTGAGCATTAAAATAACTACGAACTCTAAGATATTTAAAATCGTAACCTTGAGAAATGTTGCCGGTGTTAAAAGCCCATAAAAAACATGTGTCAACATAGCCGAGACCTGAGTGTACACAAAAATGATAAGAAATTTGGGAACTAATAGTTCGAGGCTTATGTCAACATTTTTCAAGGTTTCGTAAATATAGTGGTTTAATAGATTTGAACATAAACATTCGCCACATTCAATAGTTTACGGAATATGCTAAGAATTTAAATTCTCTTTTGCAAATAAAAATTAAGCTCACCTTTATTCATTGTTGCTGCCACCACGATATGACATCAAGAAGCTCTTCATCTTCAGGACTCATGGGTTCGTAAGAATCGTAAGCATCGTGACAATTTGGCCCGACAGAGCTTTCTGACACTAGGGATGGTGCCGGAGAGTGAGATTCTTCCGATGAGGGAGGCGTTTGTGGTCCGTTCGAAGTCAAGTTTCCCCCGATCTGATTATCCGAACAACCTTCCTCACTTTCCTCCAGCAGTCTCTTTAAGCTCTTGATATATTCAACAGCTAGCCTCAAAGTGTCGACTTTGCTCAGTTTACGCGAAGACCCTCTGCCGCCCGCCAGGGCCGCCGTCACCGCAGTCGGTATGTGCTGTCGCAGCGCAGCAAATCCATTATTAACTTGCTTCACCCTGTTCCTTTCACGGGCGTTCCTTCTCGCAACCGAGGCGGGCTGTGTCGGATACGACTGGTGGATGTACGACTTCTTCTTGCAGCGGGACGCGTCGAGGGGCGCGGGCGCTAGCCTCCTCTGCGCAGGTGTCTGAAGTTGCGCAAGCTTCTGATTGACGCCGAGATTTTGATAAGCGTGGATCGCCGCCATCGGCATCGCGTGTGTAACCTGTCGGGTGTGGTTCAGGTGGGGCACGTGTGCGTGCTGCGGAGGTCGCCGGTGGATTGGCGGCGGTGGCGCGCACCCCCGACACTAAGTAGCGCGGCGCGGCGGCGGTGGGGCGCGTGCCCGGCGCGCGCGCACGCACGGGCCGCTCCCCCCCCCCCTCCCCCGCTCCCCCGTCCCCGCCCCACCTCACTCCGTCCAGCGCCGCCGCTCAGCTACTTGTTGCGCGCCGATCAAAATACGCCGGCGCTTATTATGCCATAGAGCGAGCGGGGAGCTCGCGCCGCTATTGTTGCACGCTGTTGCGCATAATTATCCCGTCCATTACCTTGTACGGTGGACAAGATCAGCCCGCTCCGTCTATTTAGAAGTCGTTAGGCCGAATAGGCGCTGTAAACAGATCGGGCGGTGATATTGCGCTATTAGAGTCTCGAGGGTTTTGTTTTAGCAAGTGACCCCTTAAAGTTTTTTCGTCGGAGCGGTCGTAACGTATGCCTTCGTTGCGAACTCTGATTACGGCACGTCTTGCGTTTTTTAAAGACGCATGCATGAAAATGCTTAATAAATAATTTATGTTACTTCAGGCGTCGCGGACGATGTGTCGTGTGATGTAATCGGTTCGATCATAATAAACTGATTCCCGGCGCGAATTATGCGCCGTCCGTCACGGAGGCTAATGGGAGCCTTGCGCCTGGGGGCAGGTGCGTGTGGCGCGTCACCCGACCTAGACGGGGGATCGCTTTTATTCGCGGCCCAATTAAAGTGTTGGATTATCGGATTAAGTGGATGCTGTACGTTGTTCGGACGAGATGCCCGTATAATTTCGCATTTGGATCCGCGCGCTGAATAATAATCGCGTCTATCGCTTATCGATTTTAATCCGAACGGTCGGTCGGTGGTAGTTTTTATTTGCACGCACCGCCCGTCTTAATATAAGAGGCGCTGCTCACAGAGCTCTGGCCGGTGGGCGTCAGGTTATGCGCAGGTGTGAAGTGCGCGCGTGCGGCACAGTTCTCGACGGATCGATTCCGCGACACGTCTCGATGTTACCAAACATAACTGAATCACGAAAGTTAATTCCATGAATATTCCTAATGAAATGGCTCATTAGCAACTTATTAAGGGACTTACGGTTACGTGGACGGTTTCCGTTATAAACGGCCCCGTGGAATTCTCGTAGACGTTTCGCGGCCGGGTTTCTCGTTTCTCCGACTTGTTTACGAAATATTTGAACGATTGATAGTTTTAAGGCTGCGTTTATGTGTTTTCTTTTTATGTGAAAATGTTGCAAACGAGCTGGCGGTTCACCTGATGTTAAGTGATAACCGTCCGTTGGCATTGGCAACACTCGTACGGTTGCAGATAAGTTGTCGCCTTTTAATGAAGTGGGCCCGGCCACCCAGATTTCTTACCAGAGGAAACGCAGAAGTATAATACTTCCACTTCCCGCCGGTCTTCCGTGAGGTCGTGGTACTTACTCGGATGGACCGGCCATTCGTGGAACAGCGAGGACTGTTGCGTGGTCCTGCCACAGTCTAATGTTTCTCTAACTCCTCGCGAAGCTAAAGTTACGGCATGTCTTATTTATTAACCTCTATTTTATATACTTGGTCTAGAATAGGTGCTTGAAAATTATGTTTATATTTATTTTAAGTTCGAGCTTGGTCTTCCGGCTTCGCGCGGGTGTATAAATAAAGATACCGATAAATTAACGACACGTTATCGAAAAAGTTTAATAATTTCATAGATTGCCACATTATGGACAATAAATATTATGATGAATAAATAAATTATGATAAACCTTTACTCCAAAACATACATGACCTGTTTTTTACAATAATAATCTTTGAAGTCCATATCCAATTGAATATGTTGCATCACGTATGTGGCAAGTGCGGTCAATAGTTATGCAGGTTGTACTTTAATTGCAAATAAAATGACCCGCGTAGAACACACATTACAACTTCGCATATGCGTTATAGCATTAAGAAGCGAAAGCTACATCTAGTGAAGCGTTTCTACATTGTAACAGATAATGGCGAATAAAAACTTAAAGTGTTTACGCTGTTCAGTAGCACCTTAACTATAAAGTTGATGCGTAGTAAAGTAACAGAACCAATTGAAAACTTAGAGCAAGTAGAAGTTTTCTAAACAAAATTGGATAAGTATAACATTCGTTACTTAGAAAATAATGCAATAGTTTCTGCTGTTTCATGAATAAACTAGTTCGTCCAAGAAGTACCACGGCCTCACAGAAGACTGGCGTAATATAAAAGTGTGGTGGCTAACACTCTTTAAATTCCTCTTGGCAACCCATAAACCTTTTTGGTGGCATGTATATCGTTGGGTGAAGAAGATGTCTCTTCGAGATTATGGTCTTTTTGTGGCTATTGGTAAAACTATAAAGACAATTATTTAAATCAACCATGGTAGGGCCACGCAGCAGCCTCGGCTGTTGCACGAATGGGCATGGTAGTCCGGGTAAGTACCACGACCACACAGAAGACCGGCGTAAATTGGAAGTATGACAAATACTTTCACGTTTCGTCTGGTGAGTGATGTAGCTGGAGCCCAATTTTCAAAAGGTTATCAACGCATCTGTAACCCTCGGGTGTAGCAGATGTCCATAGGCGGCGGTATTCACTTAACATCAGGTGAACCGCCTGCTCGCTTGTCAACTTTTCACATACAAAAAAAAGAATTTATAGATGGTCTGGGTTTAAATGGTTTATCTTTATATACATAATTCTGTGTGTATTCTGTATATATATATAATGCTGTGTGTATGTCACTGAACTCCTCCTGAACGGCTGTACCGATTTTAATGAAATGTTTTGTGTGTCTACAAGTCAATTTGAGAATGGTTTACATTTACATTTCGGTCCACTACATTTTTTTTATTATTTTTAAGTTGTCGAATTTAATTCGTGTGTACAGAACAACGTCTGTCGGGTCCGCTAGTTAAAGTCTGAATAAATGGTATAAAACATTGTAAAAAATACTATTCTCTAATTACTGATTAAAATGGTTATTTAATTCGCGATGTTAATTATTGTTTTGGTATTGATTAAATGGCGTAAACGGCGTACTGACTTAAATGAGGCATACTAAATGTACGCGTGCAAATGTGTATAAGATGCATACAATGACAATGATGTACTAATCGGTTGCAGAACTCTCAACAATGGTTGTCTATTATAACTCCGTCAGGAGTATCAGCCGCTCGTTTATCACTCCAAAAAAATAAAAAGTAATCTCTGATATCATCTTTCATTTAAGATTCTTATTATGTTATAAATTAAATTATTTTATAATATAATTAAAGACCAGCACCTGGTTGATGGGTTCACTTAACAAGATAATTAGTTGAAACGATACGTATAAGTGCTACAGTTTTCAACCCTTAACGAGCGCAGAGTCGCCATCTGTTTCCACCCCTAAGTGACGGAACTAAAATCGATATTTTGTATCCCCTAACGTTTATCCCTAATTCCTGTAGAGGGCACTATTCGAAGTTAATTAAAACTCTCTTTCTCCTGTTCTAATCTTGGTTACAATTTATTGTATTTTTAATTACGATGCACCTACGATGAGTATCAAAAACTAATGCCTTTTAAAATTAAGGTTCAGAAAAGTCATCATGGACACACATTAATGAAAACTTAAATCGTGAAATTATGCTTAAACATAATTTTACGTTTACAATATACAAGTCGACCTAAATTTGGTAACCAGACCTAGTATACATATGACCTGGTACTAGTATATGAATATTTTTTCGTGTATCAGAATCTAATAGCCACAACAATTTTATTAATGTTTAATATTTCCATATAAATTAATTATGAATGTTTATTACATATTAAAATTTAAGTAATGTCCATAGCAAACTATAGGCTTAGCTTTTCTAGGTCATATTATTAAATTGAAAATACATAAGAAACGGATTAAGATGATTTGAAATTCATTTATTCATCGTCATTCATTTAAAAAACTTTAAAAGTTTTTATTAGCGAGTAATAATTAAGTTAAAATCGAGCAAAACTCATTGTCCTCTTTAATTCGCGTTCCGAAAAGATTGCAAATATTTAGGGACATAACCAATAAGAACCATCAAACTTTTCAATATTTTACGATCACTCGTAAAACGTTTTGATTTGATCACCACTCAAAGCAAAAATTATAGTTTTAAATAACAATTAAATTTGCGGGTACGATTTTTTTATATTCATATTTCATACGTAAATAGGCAATCTGTATCGAAAAAAAAAAAAGTTAACGCTTCATTTCGAGACAGCGATTATCTTCGTCGACTTCATCAGTATCAAACGAATTACCAAAATTAAATACTCGAAGATTTGACACCTAACTTTTAGTAGCCTAATCTGTACTTATATAGAATAAAACCGACCAAGTGCGAGTCGAAGTCGCGCATAGAGGGTTCCGTACCATTATCTATAAAAACGGCAAAAAAAATCATGTCTGATGTATGGGGAGCCATTTTATTTGTTGACGTCGTGGAAATGCCTACGCATACCCGTCCGCGCGGCGACCAGAGCGGGTTAAGCCCCCCCACTTTCGCTGACCAGAGGCCATGGGAGCCAGGAGAGCCAGTAAGCCTATATAAGCAGTAAGCCTCCTACCCTGCAGCGGCGGACCTAGTCTATGGCTCCGTCGCTCACTACTTTTCGTCCACGGAAGGCAGGGAGAACTGCACACTGCAATACCGACACTCCTCTCCCTCCGCGGCCTCACCGCCACTGCATCAACCGTGCAGCCCCGCCGAGGCGTGGACGATAGGGAGAGGCTCAATGAGCCCACTCGGAACGGCTCTCTCGGACCGTCCTTACACTACAGGTTCCTCTTAGCTTCGCCGTGGGTGACCAAGTCACGGCTACTAAGCCCCTCCGCCACATCAAGGTGGGAACCCCGTTTTACCCTTTTGGTAGGGAACCCTAAAATGAATGTGTGTTTGTATGTTGTGTAATGCGTCTTGCAAGTCTGGTTCTTTTTTAAGGAAAAATGATATAAACGATGAAGCGGGTAAACTGGTGGTAAGCGAATACCGCCGCTCATGAACACTTGCAACATTGGTCAAACTGCAATGCCGGCCTTTGAGATAGAGGTAGGCTCTCTTATAGGAAGGCCCTACGTCGTGACGTCAGTATGTGAGAATTTCGTTTATCGTTTGTTTGAACCTCCACGTGATACTTACTACTTGCTTGATACTTACTATTTCATAAAGAGAGTCGATTTTCGAAAGCCGAACATATAAGACTAAATATGACGTTAAGTAATATGAATTATTATTTTTAATTTAAAAAAAAAGTAAAGTAACAGCCTATACAAGTACCACTGCTGGGCAAAGGCCTCCTCTATACAGAGGGTATCAGGGCATAGTCCACCACGCGGCCCCACTGCGGATTGGCGGACTTCACATATCTTCTAAACATATTTTATTTTTGTTATTATATCGAAAATATGCAGGTTTCCTCACGATGTTTTCCTTCACCGCGGAGCACGTGATAAGTCAGCACTTAAAGTTAAAAACTTCATTGGTGCCGGCACCGGGGATCGAACTCAGGTTGCTCGAGTATATTGAATTAAAGGCGAGCGCCCGGACACTG